GGCCCCCCCCAGCCCCGGGTTGATCATTAACGGGAGCCAAGGCCAGCGGGGGGATGGGGACAGGGACAGGGGACGGTGACACGGTGACACGGAGCAGCCCTGGGGGGGTCCTGGGGGGCCGCTGGGTGCCACCGCTGTGCCCTGTCCCCTGGGGGTGTCCCCATGCCTGTCCCCGCATGCCTGAGGGGGGTTGGCCCCCCCTCTTTGTCCTCATGCCTGTCCCCCGCCCATGTCCTGCTTCTGTCCCCGTTCCCGGGGGTTTGTCCCTGTCCCCATGTCCTGGGGGGATTTTGTCCCCACCCTTCTCTGTCCCCATTCCTGGGGGTCCTGTCCCCCCCACGTGTGCCCATTCCAGGTGTGTCCCCTTCCCCCCCGTGTCCCTGTCCCACGCCATGTCCCCGTGTCCCCGTGTCCCCCCGTGTCCCCTCACCGATGTGGTCGAAGTCGATGGGGGCGCAGCCGCCCTCGGGGGGCCACGGGCAGTGGAACACGGCCCCCCCCTGGGTGACATTGGGCTGGCTCGTGTTGGCCTTGGGGGCCCCCACCAGGATGCTGACACTGGGGGGGGACAGGGGGGGCTCAGGGTGGGGGCGACCCCACGGGGACACGGCGCTTGTCACCCGCGGGGCACCCGGGGGCTCGGCGCTGCTCCCGCTCCCGAGTCCCCTCGGAAAGTGCCCGGGGGGGGCCCGGGGCCGCCCCGCCCCGCCGTGACTCACCGGGGAGGAGCCAGAGCCCCGCCGGGCACCGGCACCGGCACCGGCACCGGCTCCGGCACCGGCACCGGCAGCGGCGGCGGGGAGCCCGCGGGGAGCGGGTCACGCCGGGGACACGGGGACATCAGGGACGGGGACACCCCGAGGGGAGCAGGACACCCCGGGGACACGGGGACATCAGGGACGGGGACACCCCGGGGACAGAAGGGACAGGGACACCCGGGAACAGCGGGACACCCCGGGGACAGCGGGACAGAAGGGACAGGGACACCCCGGGGGGAGCAGGACACCCCGGGGACACGGGGACATCAGGGACGGGGACACCCCGGGGACAGCGGGACACCCCGGGGACACGGGGACATCAGGGACGGGGACACCCCGGGGACAGCGGGACATCAGGCACAGGGACACTCGAGGGACACCGGGACACTCCAAGGACACCGGGACAGCCCAGGGCCATGGGGACATCAGTGACAGGGACACCTGAAGGACACCCGAGGGACATCAGGGACACCCTGAGGGGAACGGGACAGAGGGGACGGGACACCCGAAAGGCACTGGGACACCTTGGGACACCGGGACCTGAGGGACAGGGACACCGGGACACCGGGATGTGGGGGACATGAGGGACAGGGACACCGGGACACCGGGGTACGAGGACACTGGGGTACTGGGACATTCTGGGGACCCTGGGGGTACTGGGACATTCTGGGGACTCTGGGAGTACTGGGACATTTGGGGACACCAACACACAGGACGCCATGTGGGGACACGAGCGGGACAGGCACAGGGGACATGGAGGGACACGGGTGACACTGCAGGACAGGACACGGGGGACAGGACAGGGCCAGGCCAGGGGGTGGCAGGGCCGGGGACAACGCGGGGGGAGGGGGACACGGCCGGAGGAAGGGGACACCGCGGGGGACACGGGGGGGGCCGGATCCCGGCGCCGCTTCCTGGAAGGGAAGAGCGGAAACGGGGCCGGGGCTGGTCTGGGGGTACTGGGACATTTGGGGACACCAACAGACAGGACGCCATGTGGGGACACGAGCGGGACAGGCACAGGGGACATGGAGGGACACGGGTGACACTGCAGGACAGGACACGGGGGACAGGACAGGGCCAGGCCAGGGGGTGGCAGGGCCGGGGACAACGCGGGGGGAGGGGGACACGGCCGGAGGAAGGGGACACCGCGGGGGACACGGGGGGGGCCGGATCCCGGCGCCGCTTCCTGGAAGGGAAGAGCGGAAACGGGGCCGGGGCTGGAGCCGTTCCCACGGAGGGGTGGGACCCCCCCGGGGGGACACGGGGAGGGGGGAACAGGACCCCCAGGGGGGACACGGGGAGGGGACAGGACCCCCACGGGGGGGACACGGCGCTGGCACCTCCTTGGGGGGACATGAGGGGACAGTAGGACCCCCCAGGGGGACACGGGAGGGGCGGGGAGGTGCCCACCCCCCCCACCCCGCACGCGTGTGCAGCCCCCCCGTGCTGGTGCAAAGGGGGGGACACGCGGGGACGCTCGGGGACACCCCCGACCCGTGCGAGGCGCGTGGCCGCGTGTGCAAGGGTGGGGGG